TTTCCGTTTTTTTTTCCAATGGAAAAATAAGTTTTGAATTTTTGTTTCACGTTTCTCTATTTTTTTCTAATAAAAATTAGGTTTTGAATTCCACTGTGGTATATCCACCCGCAAAAGCAACTTACTGTAGAGGATCGACGAACTGAGTAAATCTAATCGAATGAAGTGCATTGCCGATATCGCCGTCTTCCAGTTCCTGATAAATGGACATAAGAGCGCGCATGTTGCTACTCGGCGATTCTTCGTCGGCGCAAACACGGCTCTGTGACGACTGAAACAGGGGATTGCGCGAAAATGGAGCGGAAAGTAACATTAGTTACAAAACAGCATAGGGGAATTGGCCATCAGCTTGCTTCTAAGCAACAATCGACAGAGGAAGTCATCAGCGGCTCGTATTTGCTAGAATCCGCTGAGACATGCTTGGGATTGTCGAGGTCATTGCCCTCCTCAAAGTTTTAGCGGAAAATAACAAATTCTGTACATAAAAAAGCAGAAATGTGGAAGAATAGCACAAAGAACATAATAGCATGAAGAATTCAGCGAACCTCTGTCCAGTCTTCTTTTATCATATAGAAGACTAATAGAAGAGAGAAGAATTCTTCAGCAAATTCGTCTTCGTCATCCTGAACTTCACGCTGCTCGTCATCATCAGTTTTCGATAGGGGCAACTGCAACGTTTGCGTAATGAGCACGGATAATAACCCAGGCTGAAACGCACCAGGCGAGCCGGTGCGATCATACGTTTTTGCACAATAATTGGATTAGGCCAACTGCTGTCCCTTCACACCTACCTTATGTGCCTAATGTCGAAAATCATCGTAAATTTTGCATAAAAAGAAATGAACTATTTCCATTTGGCGGTATTTTTTGAAAATAACTTAACTGTTCAATGAGTAATTTTCCCGTCAGAAATTTAATTGTCCATACACGAGAATCACGCGTAAATGAAAGCTGAATTTGAAGATTTAAGTCTTATTTGAATGGGGAATATTCTCCAGAGTCTGAGCCTCCCAACTTTTCTGGTTCTCGAGTTAGCCATTTACCCGCGAAAAAAGTTTCACGGGGGCGTATATGAGAACCACGTATGACTGGGGATTGAATTTGATAGGTTTATGCCGTACCTGTGCTTGGA